TTATATTTCTTAAATAAAAGATGTCATCACATGTACATGTAAGTTCAGCACTAATAGAGTTCGATGTTTAAATCAACATCAAGGTTTTGCCTTGCAGCACATCTGCCATTGCAATTCCACAGGTGTACTAAACTTAACTGATTCATATAATCAAGTCGTTTCTACAGCAAATCCAAACTACAGTATTTGGCTCAACGCAATGATTATCTAGCAATGCCAAAGATGTAGATTCACTATCTCATTTTTTATCTGCACCACCCCTGTTGTTGAGGACATATGGAAATCTTAGGGAGGGGGGGTCATAAAACATCATGGAAATCCAGAGGGGGAGAGTGTTTTTTTGATAACCACATAGGAAATTCCTGGGGAGGGGGATGTGAATATTGCAGAAATAATATAAATAACCTGGAAATCCTATGGGGGTGGGAGTGTTTTTAGTTCACCTGGAAATCTTATGGGTTGGGTGAAACACATGTCCTCAACAGGGGAGGGGAGGGGGGGTTTGCAGCATTAATTATTGGCATACCAGTGTATTTTCTGGTACTCCATCTACTTTAGCACGTTGAAGGCTTTCAAGGAATGTCTTTGCATTGTTTCCAAGCTCATTTGTCCAGCCTTGATTAGACGTCATTGTAACCTTTTTCTGCTGACTACAGAATCTTTGAAATATAGAAAAACCATAGAATACATGAAATACAATTCTACTTCCACAGGCAATAAAATCAACTCTTGTCTTACTGCATGTACAATGTATATTTAAAGGCCACTAAACAGATACTTGTCATACTTTATAATACTACAATTTAGGTAATTGTTTTTGTAAATATTTTGATCTCTAACGAGTTTTGGCATAGGGCTTGCATAATTATGACAATTTCAGTACCTTATTTACTCTATAAAAAGCATTTAAGCTATTGGATGTCAGTTAATATATTTACCAGCAAATGTCTGCGCTACTATAGAATTTACGAGTTGGATGCAATTTGCATTCAAATCGTTACCAGCTGTAAGCCAAAGTCAAATATATTTACATAATAAAAAGACATACAAGCKATAAACACAATGGTCCATCACCTTTAAATATGTATAAAGAAAACGTCAACTAGGGTTGCTAAAGCTGGAATGGCCCGGTGAAAATYAACTAAAAGTTTATTCCAATGCGCCGACCGATCAGCCGACGCGCAGACAAAGATATAGAAAATTGTCAGGAAATTGTAACCATAATATCATTACAGTACTACAACTAAGCTTACTGAATATTAAGAAATCCACTTAAGCTTACCTTAACGCTCTCAATCAGTTAAAACCGCACAAAACTAGTCGAAAGTGAAAGTCAATTTTTCAAATCGTTTGATTGTCATGATAGAAGCAGTTGTTGTTTGCTGACGAATTTTGAGTAGACTTCGATCGCATTTTCGACTTTCGACTAGCAAGGTCGAGGATATCAGCATCGATTTTGAACGTGCTAAATTCACCTGATTTCACTCGAAACGTTGGTAAAGTTCATCGCGTTTTGGTAACTATCTCACCTAGCTTGCCGCCATTTGTTTTGTATTGCATTGACAAATGGGATGTTTGGGCGATAAACATGCATAGAATCGTTGTTTTGATTGGCTAAACATCACAAAAATAGTGTGTAACGCTAACTTCAAACTTGCAGTCAATAAGCCAATCAAAACCTTTCTTCTTATTAGTTATGAAGAACCTGACAATTACACGCATGTGTATGTTCAACATTTGCTGACCGTAAAAACTACAAACTTCGCGCCAAAATTATACACCGGAATTTGTCAAAACGGCAAAGTTATATTGGATTTATTTCTCTTCGTTATGTTTATATAAGACAAAAACAGAATAATTCGAGACGAAATTTGCACTGTGAACATGAAATACTACACAGGAACAAGAAAACGTCGAAGTACAAGGAGTTCCAAGTCTGCCGACACCGGTGGAGGAGATGGAAGTACCCAAAGTCAGGAAAAGGCAGRCGAAGCAGAATCACAGGCAAGCTGATATACTCAAGCTGATATTCACACCGAAAAAAATGTTTTACCCTATTGATCTGGMAATTATACGTAAAGTCTAATAATTTCAAAGACTTCGTCTGGCAATGAAGGGGGAGATCCAAAATCCCTGGAACAACCCCCTGCAATTGAAATTAGAATTTAATCAAGTTGCACTGTCCGTAACCCTCCAAATCTCTTAGCTGAAATCTCATACAAGGCATATGCATATATGCATACAAGGCATATGCAATCCCATTTCCCCATCCCACACTGAAAGCTTGTTCTGGCTAAACATCACCCCTATTAAATTTGGTTCCTTTATTAAGTAGCACCAAAGCACAGATAATTGCGTGTAGGATGACAACAAATATATAGGGATCAAAATGATAGTGAGAGAAGCTGATCAATGACCCAAAATAAAGTTAGCTTCAATTTCCTTGCACGGAGACCTGATTGCTGTTTGTCTCTCTGGGTAAAAATCTAGAGGAATGTCGCAAAATGATGGTAAACTATACTTTCTCTTTTCTTTTCTTGTTTTAGGTTCCCAGTGATGTTGAGAAGAGAAGTCTGAGGAAAAGAGGAAGAAAAAGAACCAGTTCAAACACTCAAGAAGATAATTCTAAAGCTAAGAAAGCAAAGCCTGTACAAACTCCAGACACAGAAAATATTTTTGAGGAGAAAAGCGAAAGAGTACGCCAAACTAGAAAGACAAGAARAACAGAGAATAAAACAAAGGATTTGAGATCAGGCTCTAAAAATGACTCAAATGAAGAAACTGAGCAAGTACTTGTAGAGCAGCAAAATAAGTCTGCAAGTTCAGGTAGACATGGAAAGAAAACTACTTCAGCTACATCRAAAACAAARCCTTCATCAAGATCCAAAAATACCAGCACAGAAATTGCAGCTACCAAGAAATTACCAACCAAAGWGAAAGGAAAGTYAAAWAGAAAGTATTCTTCTGAAAGTGAAGAAGAGGAAACGATTGCACCAGCAARAGCTAAAACTTCCAAGTCAACTGATTCAAAAAATGAAACAACAATAAAAACTAGAAGAGGCAGGAAAACTGCAAAACCTGGCTCTTCTGAAGGAAATACTGAACAGCAACCTAAGTCTACGTTGTCAAAAGAGGTCCAGCCAACAAGGAAAAAGGAAACGGAAAAAGAAAAGAAAAAGRAAAAGGAAACGGACAAAGAATCAGAAAATGTTTCAAAGACAATGAAAAGGAGTTCCTCAAGCAGAACATCAAGAAAGACAAAACGYACCACAAATTCAACAGCAGAAATTTCTGATTCACCTTTTGAAGGWGAAGAGCAGGAGAAGAGCAATGAAGATACAACAAAAAGTGAWGATCTTGCTGTGTTATCTGATGGGTCTAATGGTTGGCAGTCTGACCGAGAATTTCTTCAGCAACAGGTTAAAATCCTTATGACTCCTTTTGAAATCACCGACTGTCCTGAGTTAGCAAGAACAGGTAAGATGACACAATTTTAAACATTTTGCAATAACAATTACAATTACAAAAGAATTATATCTGTACCATTCCTCATACTCTAAATTAGGTCTGCAGGACTGAATAAAACAGTAATGCCAGACACTGTTACAGTAAATAGATTGAAAATCTTGCAGCTTTTTTATTGTATGAGAAAAGTAATGCAATATTATTGCAATATAATTGCAAACAAACATTGTCACTGTAATTGCATACACCTTTTCTCTTGCAGGTAACAAGAGACAAAAAGATAGTCACTTACCACAAGATGTTATTTTAAAGTCACTGAGAAAATGTAAGTACACAGACCTTTTCTGAAATACAATATCATAGYGCATTGTGGTTCATTTGCATTCAATGCAAACTGCTATCTCAGAAAAGGCCTATTGAAGTAAATTTCCGACAATCAAGTCATTTATATAGCCAGCCATGCCTTGATTAGCTTTCAGCTTCAGGACAGTTGGTAACCTGTTGTAGTTCAATCTGTTAAAGTGTTGAACTTATAATTATTAACTAACCTTATCAGCCTACTACACAGGCTAGAACTTATGCACACCCTGAATGTTAATATGCTTTCAYACAAAATAAGCCGTTTTCCCATTCAATGCCAGTGTCTGCTGTATACAACAAACTCACTTGCTTAGAGAACAAAAGAAAGCACATATGTTGGCATTAAAATATCTCTAGAAATTTGAAGCTTCTATGATTGGAGGCTAAGCTTGTATATAAATAATATATCCCCACAAGACCTAGAGTTTAAGCCTTCTGAAAAAAACAGGCTTATCCTCAGAGAAAATGCAAACTTGTAGGGCTATTGTAATTATGACAACATTTTTCCATGCTTTCTTTTGTTTTTGGTAAGGTCTCTGTGCATGAAAGACTGTTGTCAACTAAAGCACCAGTTGCTCACTTTGAACGGTAAAAAGGCATAATGTGCTAGACTATATAACAATAATTGCACAACAATCTACATTCTCCAGTAAACTACAAAGTAGAAGATGAGCTTTTAAAGACTCTTAACAGACAAGGCCAAAGACGAATCTTACAGCAAATGCATGAAATAAGAAATAACTGTCAGGAGTCTTCACAAAATATCCAGCCTGAGGAACCAGAAGATGATGAAAGTCTGGAAAAATTAAGGAAAATGGTGAAGTCTGCAGAAGAAGAATGGAATGGATTGAAGGTACGGTAAATAGTAAAGTAAAGTAAATGTTAAAAAAATAATGTCTCGGAAAGGGTTTATTTCCTCATTATTGGTTTTTAATGCAGGGAATCAAGGAAAGAGTCGCAAAACTAGAAGCATTAATTAACAATGTGGATCCTGAAACACTCTCAAAAGATATAAACCAGTCTCTAAAATTGTGTAAGTTTAGACACATATAAAAATATAGATAAAATGTCAAATAATTGTGTACTTGTTCACATATAAATTGTTCATTAATGTCAAATAATATAGTCGCAAACTGACTATTTCAGACAGTTAACCAGACATTATTGCTATCTTAGACTATCAGTTAACCAGACATTATTGCTATCT